CCGCGGCAGCGGCCCGGGGCCCCGCCGTAATGGCGGCAGCGACCCCGACACAAGGCAGCTCAATAGCTGGATAAAGCAGTCCTCGACACTGCAGGAGCTTGAGGACTTGGAGCAGCAGCATGGCGCTAGCTTTGACTACATCCACATCTCGACAGCATTGAGCAGGGCAGGGCACATCATCAGCGCGGACGCACCGCCCGCCCCCTTTCACCCGCTGCTGGGGCGGCTGTGGGTGCGGCTGCAGCCACAGCTTGACGCATGCGGGGAGCAGGCGCTGACCAATATTGTGTGGTCGTGTGGTAAGGCGGCGTATGCAGATCCGCCGCTGCTTTACGCCTGCCTGGACCGGCTGGTGGGCAAATGTGAAGGGGCAGCGCCGCAGGGCTTGTCCAACGCCCTATATGGCGCGGCGCTGTTGTGGGACATGGGCAGCTACAGGATTCATAAACAGCAGGAGCTTCAGCTGATGGAGGCGTTGATGCAGCAGCACCATGCATTCAAGCCGCAGGACGTGTCCAACACGCTGTGGGCGGCGGCCAACATGGGGCTGCAGCTGCATGAGCAGCAGGCGCGCCAGCTGGTGGATGTTTTGGTGCAGCAGCGGCGGGCAGCCAAGCCACAGGCCCTGTCCAACACACTGTTGGCGGCGGCCAAAATGGAGCTGCGGCTGCCAGAGCAGCAGATGCAGCAGCTGGTGGAGGCATTGGTGCAGCAGCAGCAGGCAGTTAAGCCGCAGGATATATCCAACACACTGTGGGCGGCGGCCAGGCGCAAAGCAGACTTTGCAGCGGCACGGCGCACGACAATGCAGCTAACGAGCGTTGAGGTGGCGCTGCTGCAGCTGGCAGACGCCGCTGTCAGGATGCAGCTTGTGGAGGGCATGACGCCTCAGGCCATCAGCAACAGCTTGTGGGCGCTGTCAGAGCTGGGCATGCGCCCTGGAAAGCTGGTGTCCCTGCTGATGAAAGCCGCGCTGCAGCGGGTTGCAGCCATGAATCCACAGGACATCAGCAACACAGCGTTGGCGGCAGCAAGGCTGGGCATCTTTGAAGCGCCGCTGTTTGTCGCGCTCGTGGCTGCTGCTCAGCAGCAATGGCAGGGATCCACCCACAACGCCCAAGACATCTGCAACCTGTGCTGGGCTGTAGCGGTGGCAGACCAGCAGCAACTGGCGCAGCAGGTCGCGGCACTGAGCGAGCAGCTGGCGGGCAGCTGCGTGTGGGAGGCGGGGTGCACGGCTGCCAACCGCAGCCAGCTGTGGCAGGCACATCTGTGGCTGATGGACTGTCAGCCAGGCAGCGGCGGGCTTGCAGGCACATTGTCGGCGCAGCAGCTGCAGCAGTGCGCGGATGAGTGGGAACTGATGCTGCAGCAGACGGCCAAGCAGCGCAGGACAGTGCTCGAGCAGAGCGTGTTTGCATGCGCACGGCGCCTGACAGGCCTGGCCGCCTGCTGCCAGGAGACGCTTACAGAAGATGGTGCCTACAGCATCGACGTCACCGCGATGCATACGGCCAGCGGACAGCGGCTGGCCATCGAGGCGGACGGCTCGACCCACTTTCTGCTGCCAGGCTGGCAGCCTACAGGCGACACGCTGGCGCGCGACAGGGCGCTGGCGGCGCGGGGCTACGTGGTGGTGACCGTGCCATGCTGGGAGTGGGATGCAAAACTAGGGGACGCGGCGCAGCAGACGGCATACCTGCGGCGCAAGGTGGCGTTGGCGCTGCAGAAGCTGGAGGCCGGCAGACCGCCTGGAGTGGGACCGGCAGCGGCTGCTTGAGTTGCTATGTTTATGTGACACCATGCGTCACCGCCGCCCCCTGGGTTTTAGCTGAAGCGCCATGCACTCTTCCAAAAGTGACTTCAACCACCTTCAAGGCCTTGCCCACGTTGCCACAGCCGTTGGCTTACCCCTTGCACCAGAACACAAGTGGGTAAAACAACCCGTGATACGCGCCAATGGTGGCGGCCACTCAGGCATGCGCAGGAAGGCGTGCCTCCATGTGGCGCTGAGAGTAGGTTGGGGGTTGTGTTCCAAGTCACTCAAAGTCCCTGCAGGCGGCAGAGTCGCAGGGCGCAAACGTTCCAGTCATGCTTGAAGAAACGGCAAACGGGCAGCCAGTACAGCATCGCATGTTGGTATCTCACCAGCCACACTAAACGCGCAGCATGCGCCCGCTACGGGGTGCCGAGAAGAGGCAGGCAATGGGAGACCGGCGGACGCACGATGCGCGAGCAACTGAGACGCACTCGCCTCTCCACGCCCGCATATCGACGGGGCTGCGCCGGCACGATGCTTGGCACAAAGGGAGCGGGCGCACGCGCAACAACATCGGGGCGCGTCCTGTGTAGTGGGGGCTCGATAAGCGCTCTGGACTGCGTGGAGCCCCTCCGGAAACATGATCCCACAACCCATGCGATTGTCGCTGGGCATGCGCAAAAAGCGAGCACAAGCACGAGCATGGGTGCACACATGTGCACGTGGCGCCCTTAAGCGTGGAGTTGCTCGCTGGAGGCTGGCACAGCGTGCCAGGTGCGCGCCTGCACCCCCCGCAATCGAGGCGACTTCCATAACATCAGAGTGAGGCAGCAGTTGGTGAGTCAGCAGTCAAAATAGTGGCGTCCATGATGCGGGACGGACATGCAATCATGTGTGCATCGGGGTCATTGGGCTGCCATGTGTGCGCGTGTGTGATAATGTGTGAGAGTGTGTGATTGTTTGAGGGAGTGTATAAGAGGGTGCGTGTGTGTTTAAGGCGAGCCGTGTTGTTGCTTGAGGGGGGTGGCGGCAGGGAATGCAGGGGCTGCCCCTGCGCGCGCCAAACAAGGGGGTCGGGGGTTGTTTGTAGGAGGTGTGCTTGCAGGAGGCCAGAGGGCCTCCATAGAGCAATTCTTTTGGCTCCCTTCATTCAAGGGAGGGGTGTGCTGTTTGGATATCACAAGCAAAGGAAGCGCCAAGAAACAGGGAGGCCGCAACATGACGGGAGCAGGGCCAGGCCCCTCACAGCCTGCACGCGCGCGGGTGCAAAGGGGGCGTGCACATCCAACAGCGTGACTCTGTGTGTGGGGCGCCTTTCTTGTGCCTGACGCCCGCGCGGCGCCAGCCCAGGTGCACGGGGGCGCCCGCGGCAGGCGCTGCGTGCGTGGCGGCAGCATCATGTGATGCGCTGCAGGCGGCCGCGGAACGAGCTGCCCCCAAACGTGGCGCCAAAGCGGCCGCCTGCGCCGGGGACTGCCGGCGGTGCTGTGGGGTCACCAGGGTCGCCCTGGGGTGGAGGGAGAGGTGACGGTTGGTGGGTGCAGGAGTTGAGCCACGGCTGTGCATGTTTGAACTTATGTGCATAAGGGTTATGGATGTGTGCGCATGTATGTGTGTGTGCATGGATGCGCGCACGCAGGTTGCGTCATGGGCATTCGGGGGAGGGGGATCTATACCGCAAAGTGATCAACTGTCAAAGTCGCGATAAGAAAAGCGTGAGCAGGCGTGGACGATACCAGCACGTGCTGCGGGATGAATGCTCGGCCCTAGAGGCCCCTCTTGCACAGCTGGCGTCCCCCCTTTGCCACTTGAATAAGGCCAACAGCCGGCCGCCCCGACGGCATCAGCCGCCCACCCAGGATGACTCTGGCGCCTGCCACGCCGCTTGCCGCGCCGTCGCCGGTAATCGGTCGTATGGCGAGAGCGGCGTCGTGCGGCTGGGGGCGCGCTGGCGCATCTCAATGAGGGCTGACAGCACGGCCTCAAAGCCAGGCCTGCGGGGGCGGTCAGCGATCAGCAGCGGTTGGCGGCAAGATGGTTTGACCAATTGATGGGCGACAGGCTGCTCCATTGCTGTCGAAGCCAGCGAGCCATGCTGCAACCTAAGACTTTACGAGCGAGCAAGCATGGATCGTAACAAATGAACAACTCTGCACCACAGGGGTCCGCATTGCAGGGGTCCACTCAGTGCAGAGCGGACCCCCCCCCCCTGCCCTGCACCTGTCCTGCGGGCTGCCGGCCCAGCACCATGCCGCCAGGTCCCTGAAGTCCTGCGGGGTGTCGGGGGGCCAGGAGGGGCGCAGGCCCTCCACTGACACCTTGTGGCCCAGCAGCCCCGCAGGGGTGCCTGCGGGTGCGGTTGCGATGTGGTTGGTTGTGTGTGTGTAAGAGCGTGCTGTGTGAGCGTGCATGTGAGTTGGCATGTGTGTATGTAGAACTGTGTGTGTGTATCTAGAAGTGTGTGTTTGTGTACGTAGGAGTGTGTGCGTGTGTGTACGTAGAAGTGTGTGTGTGTGTGTGTGCGCGCGCGTGCGTGCGTGCGTGCGTGCGTGCGTGTGTGTGCGTGTGCGCATGTGTGTGCATGTGCGCGCGCACGCGCACGC